TGCCTACTTTTTAGTCGCACAATGATTCTTATTTTACTTAGTTTCACTATATCAAATTTCTTACTAATAGTATGAATCTAATATAGCCTCTCTAAATATTACAAAGTGATTGTCTACTCGGCTTAACAAAAGTCACTTTTCGTCCATTATTGATCTACCTAGGATTAAATTGGCGCCTCTATGGTAAATCAAGAATCGTCTACAAACTAAATTATCATACATGACGATAATAGTCCTAAAGCAGCCCTTCGCTAACAACAACGTATGGAATTTATCAGATTGGCCGACTATTTAATCCGTTCAAATCTTAACCTAAGGCTATTCGCATGTCAAGGTTGTCACCCACAAATTCTAAACGAATTCCTCTCATTGTTTTAAGACCGTGACCCCCGGAATGGGCTACTTTACCCAGCATTATTGCTACCGGTTCTGATTGCAGACCAACAGACCAACCTACATGCGATTAGAAGTTTAAATTGTAATAGTAGTTATTCAACCGTTACTAGTCTCCATGCGCTGCCTACACGAGTTTCTTGACATCTGTTTGTGTCATTAGAAGTTTATGCCTGTTCTGTATCTAGGCACGTGGTGAGAATATAATAAACGATCTGTTTAGATGATTTTGTCTGATCTTCTAGCTTCGAGTCTGATCTTTTAGCTTTCGAGTTTTGAGGATTGGGTTAACTAAAGTTTTGCCCAAACTTTCTGCTGTCCCATAAGAATTGTCATACATCTGGTTTTTTTTATGGCATAAGCCGGTAAACGAGCAGACGGATCACCTGATGGTCAGCAATCGGCGTCGCCCATGGACACCTGAAACACCAGAGGCGTTACAAGTCCCTTACCGGCCTTTTGGGGAATTAGGAGTTTGAGGATCGTTGGGGATTCAGGAATTGGGGAGATTGGGGAAGGGGAGGGTTATTGGGCCTGTGGTAATCTCACTTACACGACGAAACACAATGCAAGCGTTGCTTCACGTCGGTTTTCTGTGAGGCCGTAGTATCACTCCGGTCGAGCCGGCCCATTCGTGCCGAAGCATTGCTCTCCTACACTTAATTTTAATAAAACTCGTGATTAAACCCGATACTAATTGTTCAGTATTCGTTCTTGCGACCATTTGCAGCTTAACGAAATGATAACTTTAATATTATGTCATATAACCACCCATATAGTAAGTTAACAATAAATTACTATCCTACACAATTTGTCACGTGATTCTACAAAGTACAGGCAAGAGGAAAATGCTTTATACAGCTATTATGTAATCCTTGTCAAACGTGACTCGAGTATATAATGAAAGTTGTCCACATTGTGAGAAAGTCCGGGATTGTCGTGGTTATTGTGTTTGGGACGTGCTTAGGATTAAACAGGGTGTCAATACAGAGAATATTAAGGCTTTTGTAGTGGATATTTTGTAATTGTGGTTTTCTGAAAGGATTTTATGTTTTTGGTTGTGATTGGTGAAGTAGGCCTTTGTATATGTATGCTGTACAAAGAGTGGTTAAGTGGTTGAGTGAAGTAGTATAGTACTATTTTACTTGCTAAACAATTTTTATAAATTATGGAATCTAGAATTGTGCTGGGTGTATGATAAAATGCTTACTGCCTATTACGAGGGTAGGATTTTTTTATGAGATAAACCGGTAAACTGGCAGACGGATCACCTGATGGTAAGCAATCGACGTCGCCATGGACACCCGGAACACCAGAGGCGTTAAAAGTGCGTTATCGGCCTTTTAGGAATTAGAAATTTGAGTATTGTGGGGGATTCGGGGATTCGGGAGACTGGGGAAGGGGTAATTGGGCCTCCGGTAACGGCACTCACACGACGAAACACAACGCAAGCGTTGTTTCACGTCTGTTTTCTGTGAGGTCGTGGTATCACTCCGGTCGAGCCGGCCGTACCGAAGCATAGCTCTCCCACACTAGTTGTCTATGTTAAAATTCAGCGTAGGTTTTATTAGGTTATTTATTTAGGTTCCATTCCTTCCTTTAAAATTATCTAAAATTACGTCATTTAAGCTTAGCCATCCTTATATGCAAATATTATATATATAGTATGTATGTATAACGAATTGTAAGTACCTGATACCCTGGTAGGACTTACAATTATGCTTCAAGATGTCTGTGGAATACTAAACATCATACAAGAATGTAATCAAATAAAAGCTTTTAAATAAGGTCTTTGAACCGATTTTTTCGTCGCATACTTTAAATAAGATAACGTAGATAGGTACATAATATCGGTAATACACAAGTATATTGTAATACACAAGTATAATGATTTTGCAAATATGATGCAAATGCCATCAAGAATCAATAGACGCGTATTTTACGAAAATACCTACTGTAGATAATTAAGCCTTTGACTGCCGACAGAAAACTGCTGAAGGCAAATCCTCTGCTACCGTAGGTCACCGGTGACCTACGGTGTTAAACGGTTGTGCCTCTTTTGAAAAAAAAAACTAAAAATAACTTAAGTGGAGTAAGAATTTAACTGTGATAAGATACTTTAATGACTGTCAAAGTTTAATTTATGAGGTTACAAAGATTGAAGTAATGTTGGACAAGACCTTATGTCTCACTTAATAGACCCAGTTATTGTGCTACTGCGGAGAAGTTTAGTCTTTTGGGATGTATGCCTATTCCTTAGCTATGTAAGTAGCTGGTACAATGTAAACTTGTGATTTTTATCTAACAGGTTGCTCACTGAGGTGGTTGTTGAATACAAATTTTAGAGATACGATCTTTACTTTTAGGTTTTTGGTCCTTATATCTTTAGTTACAAAATAAATCCAAAATTGCGCTTATGTCAGTGTATTCTCTTGTGTATCGAGAGAAATTGATTGCAATTTCATTAGTATTTTCGAATGACTTTTTCCGCCTGGGTGAGGCGGGAGGGAGTATCAGATTCTTAATGACTAAAAACCACCCCGTTCCTACTCTTGCCCTTCGAGCCGGAGCCCCGGCAACCTCTTAAGTCCTCCGCGGCTCCGTAAATTCCATTCGTATAAGTTTTCGATTCATTAGTATTAGAGTTCAATTTTGCATGGTTAATTTTATCGTCGATGATGTTAGAAAAGAAATTCAGATCAGGTGCCTGAGCAAAAATCTAAAACCAATTATTTTTGTCAACTTACACGCCAATATTTCGGAATTTATGATAGATTTTACGATCAGTTTGACTAATATGTTAATAGCATGCTAATATAAAATACTTGAGTTATTGATTCCTTGACCGTGGCCTTGTAGACTCTAAAATCTGAGTGGTCAATGAAAAAGGCCTTAATGAATCATATTAATTAGGACATACTAGAAGCAAATGAAAAAGAAAGAAAAAGAGGGATGTTAAGAATTACAACAGTATATAATATATCGTATTTACTTACCACTAAGCCTAGTTGGCCGAATGCTCGCAAGTGCGAATGCCTGGCAAAGAGTCTCGGGTTCGATTCCCGAGTCAGGCAAAAGTATTACTCGGTAAAAAAAAATCTCAATAGTAGCACGGAGATTGGCATTGTACCCGGTATATGGCGATAGGTTCACCCCCTATTACATGGGACTCATACCATAAATAGTGAAAAGTGGGTGTTACATTGTATAGTAGCATTAAGTTCTGTAGTGTGTACCTATGCCTCTTCGGAGATAAAAGGTGTGATGTTATGTTATTATTTATCAGTAAGCTATATAATTAGCTAAAAATTCTTGGAAGGAAAAGACCAGGTACGCCAGTTCTTAACCGGCCAACGCCGGCTTGACTGGTCATATACGAATCTAACAGTCAAAGACTCTCATCACATTCTCGCATCTGTACATTCTGGATGCATGATGATAAAGTATCGTAGCTATTACTGGTATCTGCTAACGGTTTTACCCGCGATATAAAGGTAAAAACTAGATACAAATATTCACAAAGTATCTAATAATAATATATGTCTATCCATACAACACACTCCACTTTTTATAACAACAAATAAACCAAACTATTACATGTCGACAAAAAACTAGATAGAATAAGATAAACAGAATTGTAATTACACAAGTTTATGGCCTATTCCGGTAGCTTGGGTAAGTAATGGCGTAATATGCTGTACGGTAACAGTTATTTCCTTTAATATGCCGCAAAAATTCTACGTAAAAATGCAAAGTGCTGAAGAGTAACGTATGTGTGGATAGGTGAAGATCTTATTCAAATAATAGAATCCTAATCACGATGGAGAATATCTATAGACGCGCCTTTTCCCTGGACGCCTTTAATGGACAGGGGATCCTTTGCAAATTTTCCCAAATTGGACCGTATTGAATAGAGAACAGACCCATTAGGGTAGGACAGCAATATCCTCTAAAATTTTGGTGGTCTATATAACTGATATCACCAAGCCGCCTGCCAGGTATAGGGGTTTTGGCAAATCCCCTTACGAAATGGCGGTTGTTGTCTCTTTGTTCTATCTTTGTCTTTCTTTTTCTGTCTTTTTTTCATTGAAAGTGGTACACTAGATATTAAACTTTATAACAATAGAAAATATAGAGTTGTTCTACTGGAAAACTAAACATCGGTTCCCCGTTGATCATATTAATATAATCCCTTGTTTGATCATTATATCATTTAGAATAATGAGACTAATAATGCAGTAATGGAAGAAGTGCTATTACTTGTGCTATTGATAAATGAGAATAAAAACTAAATAGATAAGTTGAAGACAAGCAAATGATGACCTAATGAATAAGATTATTTTTATTATTTTTGATTCCATGTTTAATACACATACAAACGGGTTATTACACAAAAATAAATATGCTATGGAAAAAGAAAAACTGCTCAATGTTACTGAATGTGAACTGGTTTTACAATGTTTACGTTATGATCACAAAATTTTGCAAATGAGTACGTATTTTAAATTATAAATATGATTCGAAATCTTAATTTACATTCGGTATATAATTAAGAAATTATAATAAAACATGTAATTAAAAAATATAAAAAATTAAAGAAAACTTACGTCATTTCCAAATTGTTCACTGCTGACATCCAAAATAGACGACAAGGCAGCCGCCAAAATCACTTTCCTCCAGTACATCACCATATTTACATAAACACACGAACTAACAAATAAAAAAGCTTCACATTTTATATAAAACAAAAAACTTTAAAAATAACAATTGTCTAAAAAATCCGCCATCTTTTTTTATATTTTCCCGCCTTCAATGACAGATGCAGTGACTTAAAAAATTTAGGCAAAGGTTTACATGCTTACAGCCTATTTGAAAGAAGTTTTTATTCGAACGATATAAGTATCGTATTATTTATGGTGCCGGTGGTTACCGCGTGGTAGCGAGCGGCAGTTCGCGTGGTTTCGCGGCATGCGACTGCGCGGATTAGTGCAACAGATACAGAACAAAGTGTTAGATAGTGCTGGGGGTTTATCGATGTTGTTGGGTATTATTTCTTTTTGTTTAGGCGCGTTTTTTGTGACTGAAATGTTCACTTTTTGTGGTTTATGCAGGTGTGTAGTTCATTCTAGTTGTTAAGTCAAGTTCTGTTATAGTCGTTTTTTTTTTGTAATTTGTTGTATAAAAATAATAAAAATGGAAGGTTCATTTTTATTATAAGTATTTAGTTCACTACGTATTGTAGAACCATAAATCGTAATTTGAAAATTATTAAACAACTTAATAATAGTAATTTATTTATCGAATGATTTGAAAACTTTACACATCAATAATTTCCAAAGTTAAAATAAAAATATTACCTAACACAACACCATTACCTTCCACAACGTACACAATAAAATAACATCGACACCCACCCACCACTAGTCCATTGCAATTCGGAATTGTAAAAACTATTTTCCCAAACTGTGTCAGCTGTTTGTTTTAGCCACGGATTTTACTTTCATTTCAATTAAAATGTTAATGTTGTACTAAATAAAAACTGTCTGTATGTTTGTCTCGTGGGATCGAGTACGTGTATCCTGCAATAATAGTTTTTAGTGTCTAGTATAACTATTCGTTGTGAGGTCTGATGCAAATTACCTATTGGGTTAGGCTTTGCTTGGTGTGAGAACGAGTGCTATCCCTTGCAATGTTCTTTAGTGGATTCTTTGGAGACTTTGAAGATGTGTTTGGTGTGAGAACTTGACTGTAGATAATGTTCTATTTATTACATGTTTTAGGGGCACAGGTACAATGTGCTTAGGTGTGGTTGTTTGTGTACACACCTCACACATATCCAAAGACGTTGAATACACATACCAACATCTGTTTCAGGCCTGAGATGTGTAGGGGACTGCATTATTTCGTTTTCTACCGACAATTTTTGCTTTTGTATTTATAAAGAGATTTTTTTTAAATATATTACTAAATAGTGCCTCGTTGGCAGTGGTCGCAAGTGCGACTACCGGGCGAGGGATCTCTGGTTCGATACCCGGGTTTGGCAAAGTATTACTGGGTTTTTAAAAAAAATCTCATTAGTAAAACGGAGTCTGAAATTGAGTCCGGTATATGGCAATAGGTTCACCCCCTATTACACGGGACTCATAACATAAATAGTGAAAAGTGGGTGTTACATTTTACAGTGGCATTAAGTGCCGTAATGTACACCTCTGCCTGCCCCTTCGGGCAGAAAGGCATGATGTTATGTTCTGTTGTGTTATATTACGAAATATTGATATTTTACAAATCAGTATCTTAATCATTGAATTAAGAGTCATTGTCATTCTTTGCATAAAGAAAAAAATATATATTATTGAAACTAATTATAAACAAAAGGCTTCTATGTCTATTTTTATCATTACCAAACATCTTTCTTTTTAAGTGGTTGCTGAGTCCAGTCATATCCAAGGTCACTAAAATAGGTTCAAGCCATGTCACCATTTTTGGTCATACTGGTCTTTGAAATAGTTTTACAACATCGTGATCACCATCATTAGCGTGGGCAGAAGGCCTATATTAAAGCCTATAATAGGTCAGGTAGGCTCCCATTAAACAAAGCTTTTTAAATCTAAGTTGTCTGTTTAAATCTAATTTATAGTTTTTGCTATCAGATTCCGATCACATCATTTTGTTATAAGTTCTCTTGTGTTGGATACCCATCTACAGGCGGTCCTTATTCCCTACCATTAGGTGATCTGTATGCTTGTTTACCACGCTATTCTATAAAAAAGAAAGAGAAAAAAGATGAGGAGTAAGGATGAGTGAGAAGGAGGAGAAGAAAGAGGAGAAGAAGGAGGAGAAGAAGGAGGCGTGAATCAAAATTAACCTCATTGTCTTCCTTGTGTAATTAAACTTAAATGTGGAAATAACATCTGAAAAAAGGGAATCAAAGATCGCATTTCTACAGAGAAATGACTACAACTTGCCTGTCATAAATCATAGTCCACTACAGCTAGCTTGTCGTTTGATAACAATCGTGACAAAGATGTTACTCAGTGATACAACTAAGGTCAGATGAAGAGGTCTTCCTCTCAGTTCAACTTGCGATATTGTATAGAATCGTGATATGGTGGATATAGGATATTTTCGCCATGAGATCGTAATGTTTACTGCGCATAGAAAGATTTTACTTAAAGTACAAGCTAAGCTAGCTATGGTATTCATCGACATTTTTATGCCGACGCGGGAATTAGCTCTAAACTCCTTTGAGTTTCGTCGCAAAGACTCAGAAAGACAAACTTGAGGCCAGTTGACTAATGAGGCTGTTCACAAAATCTTCTTAACTTTAAAATGTTTTCTTCTTTAACGAGTAGGAGGCAAATGAAAAGACGGATCACCTTTTGGTAAGCGCCCATGAACAAATAAGAGAGTTTGTTTTTATAGTAACTATCGTGAGACATACCAAATTAACTAAAATCGCGGGTTATAGTAGGCTGCGCGACATCGCCACGATCGTGCACACTGCTCACGAGGAAGAGCCACGAGCTTGAAACTATACAGCTTTTCTTAGTACCTATATTCACGTGAGTTACTCGCGTTTTTCAGTTAAAACAGTAGAATTTTTTTATTTTGATCAGCACATAGTGCTTAGTAAGTCTTTACGAGTTCTATGCATGTTTTCCGAAGCAACAGATTTTCTAAAAATATGACACGAATACAATCCTTTTACTGATATATTACAATAAATAATTTCAATAGCGGAATAGTGAAAATGTGTTCGCTATGAGGCAACAGTTCCGCATCGGTTCGCGCCGCTCTGTGTAGATCGGAACAGATGAACAAATGTGGTGTGGAGTCGATTTTTAACGAAATATTTTTATTTTTAAGAGTGAAGGTAAACTAAGCATAGGTTTAGCTTAACAAGTCTTTAATAAGCTGTTTATTATTTTTTTTACACATAAAATCGTAATCGGGTAAAAACATATATAAATTCTAAGTCGCCAATAACACGGAATTCGCCAATAACTTAAAGTTGTTGTAAATATGCGTGGACATTATGTGAAAATAATCTATAGCGAGGAAAATCTTGAGTATGACATTTAGCGCTATATATCTGCCTAAATTCATGTGCATATCAATGAATTTTTTACATGTTGTCATTGATGGTGCTATAAAAAGGACACGAAGCTGCGTAACTGGATTTGAGACGGCGAAAATATGTATTATACCAAATATATCCTGATTTTTATTAAATAGCTTATCGGTTCATATTTATTTTTAACCTGTTTTTTTATTTATTGGTGTTTTATTCTTAAAACTTGTATAACATATTTTTATTTTACACAAAAATGTAGGTCCACAAATTGTAATCAATAACGTAATACTTGCTTTTTTCGGTACGTTATTTAACTCAAGTAAAATAAGAAATAAAACTATCAATAATAATCAATCCCGTGAAGGAGAAAACTTACAAATAAACTTATCAGTTTTTATTTGTTATTTGTATTTATTATATTAAGAATTACAATATTTGTCTAACGTTGTGGGTGTCCCTTGTGTTGGGCTTGACTCGGACAAGGATTTTTTTTTTAAGGGGGAAAATCATCGAATGACTGCTTCCGCCTGGGTGAGGCGGGAGGGAGTGTCAGACTCTTACTGACTAAAAACCACCCCGTTCCTTCTCCTGCACGTCGAGCCGGAGCCCCGGTTACCCGTTAGGTTCTCCGCGACACTCGGACAAGGATAAAGTATTAGGTTCATTCAGTACATAATTACAATTTAATTTATTGTCTGTCAAAAGTGGTACCTTTAAATCCATATGAGAGTGAGATGCTCATTTTCTTTTTCAAATTCTCCTCTTTAATTATGAAGGGTTTTGGACGCCAAAATAAAAAGAGAATAATGAAAAAATCTTTAGCTCTCACATCGACTCCACGCCTTAACCCATCGTGCGTTACAGATTGGTTTCGATATGTCACCTCGCACGCCATTGTTGTAGGCTTTCTCCGACTGTAGCCACATGTCTATGGGACTATTGTGCACCACGGAAATTAAAAGAGAAAGGGTTAAGTTATTGCTGTACAGATAGAAGCATTAGACGGGATCTCTTGGGAAATTGCTCGGATGTATTGCATGCGATGCGGTTTTGCAAATGCATATGTGGGGGATTTGAGTTGCAGATTATGTTGTTTTGTTAATGTGTGAATCATGTTGGCTTCTTTGTATTTAATTTGGTAGTTTTAAGTGTAAGGTACTCATGTATCTTCCTATGATAAAGTACTTGGTTATAGATGGGTTTTTTATGTAGATATAAGTTTCTTAATTATACGATTGTCGTCTGCCTCGGTGGCCGAGTAGTCACAAGTGTAATCGCTCGGCCACGCTGCTGTGCTTAACACAAAGGTTAGCATTCGAGTTATTAGATGTACAGCTGATATAGCGGTATAGGCTATACCGCTCAACCGAAATATGGCTGAACCATGTGGCTTATTTCGATTTAATCATTCTCTTTTAGGGATTAGAAGCGTATTTTTTCCAAACCAAAGAATTTCAAATCTCCTGAATCCCATACTCCTCCCGAATCCTCAAATTCCCAATTCCCAAAAGGCCGGTAACGCACTTGTAACGCCTCTGGTGTTCCAGGTGTCCATGGGCGACGCCGATTGCTTACCACCAGGTGATCCGTCTGTTCGTTTACCGGCTTACGTCATAAAAAACTGAGCTCAAAGATGACCAAAGATACCCAGCAATTCTGGTAAATCCAGCGTGTCTTTACATTGTTTTCAGATATGTACAATATTCGAATATGTATAAAAGAGTAACGAATGGAGTTTCGTCCTCACTCTTCTCCACTCGAATCTACTTTTTGGAACGAGCACCTCGCTTCACTGGCGAATAGACTGACAGATTATTATTTCTTTTGTATTTGTTGACGTTTCAAAAGTACCAAATTGTGGTTTAATTGAAATAAATGCTTTTGAGTTTGA